CATTAAGCTTGTGGAAATCGCCTGTCGGCCACAATCACGTGTCGAAAACACTCTAAATGGTTCCAGTTCCTCTGATCTTCCCTCCACTTCTTCACCATTCAAGATGATATCAGTACCTCCCTCAGGCACACCCATAATTCGCGCGAAATCTTGGCCGAAATATGCACTTCCAACCCATACGCCTTAATTGTGCTTTCTTCCAGATTAAAGCTCTTCACAAGTTTCTCCAACAACTCACGTTGTAGCTTTCTTGCTTTGACTTCAAGAATACGACCAAAGCCACATCTCCTAATGGCATCTGATTGACAAGCCTCTAAATTTGAGACTACTGAGAACACTTTCCTAGGAGAACATCGCGTGCTGAAAATTTGATGCCTCTTCGTCTTCATTATAGAACAATTTTTAGCAAACTGCAAAATTAAAACAACAGAAAAATTATAAGCATGCCTTGAAACACGAATTATAAGCATGCCGAAGAGTACAAACAAAATACAAGTTCTAACTACCAGAAGAACTGAAAATCCCCTACATCAACACCTGAGTACACTAATTAACCATGAAAACACCCAGCTTTCATTAATTTTCACCCAAAATGCAAAATCTCACGGCCGTGACATGACCCGTGAGAAGCAAAGAGAAGTTTGCATATCTCCAGACAATCTCCAGACAATCACACGGCTTATTCTCACGGCCGTGAGAATTTACAAAGGGGCCGTGAGAATTTACAAAGGGGCCCGTGATAATTTACTGAGGGGCCGTGAGAATTTACAAAGGGGCCCGTGAGAATTTACAAAGGGGCCGTGAGAATTTACAAAGGGGCCCGTGATAATTTACAAAGGGGACCGTGATAATTTACAAAGGGGCCCGTGAGAATTTACAAAGGGGCCCGTGAGAATTAACAATGGGGCCGTGAGATGCCCATCATCCATATCCAAAAACACGGCTCATCTCACGGCCGTGACACTGTCGAAGGCAACCCGTGAAAACCTCTGGGAAACTGAGAAGTGTGTTTTTACATACACGGTCTATCTCACGGCCTATCTCATAGCCGTGATATTTCCAGAATTACATCCACGGTCTCTCTCACAGCCGTGATATTTCCAGAAACCACACACAACTTACAACTTTTGAGAGCTAAATAACATGACCACGAGCATAGCCACTAAGCTTTCCATAACCCATGACACCACCATAAACACTCGCTCTATTTCCATCCAAACTGGCTAAAACTGAAGTCACCCTGATTTCATGAAATAGTTCTTGACTAACACACTCAATTGCACCTTTCATGCAGCCAAGCAAGACCCTTCAATTAACAGTCCAAAATGTAATCAACAAGCAACGGTAACGACACTACAAACTGAAAATAATCAAACTGAGTATGAACTTTCCTATTCGATTTGCCTCCATAAAACACAAATCAAGTCTCTCCAATCAAAAACCCATTCCTTACATCCATAAAACCCAATCAAGACCAAAGAACTAAAGAAGCAAGCAGAACAACCCCAGCACAGTTATTCTCTTCAGTTTGAAAGCAAAGGCAACAACGAAATGAACAACCCCAGCACAGTTTATGGGATTATATAAACCAAGACAGCTTCCTAGTTGACACTGAATCCTCCATTCACAAATACCTCCTAGGTCACATCAACGATCTGTGTGAGGAATGAAGTTATATGGTGGATGGCCACAACTATTTGCACAAAAAAGTGCAGACTTTCTGAAGCTTCATCAATCACGGAATGACTAAAGATGCCCCCATCTCAATCAAACTCGGCCGTGACAAAATACAGCACAACCAAGAACTACACTTGAGAGAGCTTCAATACTCATTGCACAAGACGTTAAAGCTAAAGAGATAGACAAACCAAATCACAGAAGAAGACACTGGAAAAGATGGAGCACATCAGAATTCCCACTTCACACAACTGATAAAACCGAGAGAGGGAAAGGAATATTGCATCTTATATCACCATATCCAATTGAGAATGCACATGAAGAAAGCAGTGGAGAAGCTTCAATTTCAATCCCAAATGGTTACACAGAATTGAGAAATTCTCTCTTCTACTTCCATAGTTCAATTTGGTAAAACGAGCATGGAATTTCAATCCTATGATTTGGCAACCGATCCTTAGTAGACAACTTGACATTTCCAGAGAAATAAGTCAGACATTCAAAGACACCATTATTGTACTCGAAGCTGCTCCAACAAATGCTCTAGAAGCTAGAAGCTAGAAATTGAATGTTTATCAAAGGGAGATAAGAATTTCAGCCACTTACATCGAATGAATGACTGAGTCGTCGTTTCAAATCGGAAATCGAATGCTTTATCACCCAATTCTCGCTATTGCAGGAGTTCTCCTACCCGGCGCTAGTTGACTCGTCGTTGTCGATTGGGCTTTTCGAGTCTTTGATTCCTTCGGAGTCTTCCTCCAGTAAAAGAGTCTCTGCCACCTTCAGAATTCAAGTCCTCTTTGTCGTCGCCACTGCTCACCCCCTTTACTATCTACGAACAGACCCACCGCGAAACACAATCCCAGGAGAGGAAAGTTGAAAAACGATCAGACCCACCGCAAAACACAATCCCAGGAGAGGAAAGTTGAAAAACGATCAGACCCACCGCACAATCTCACCGTTTCCGTCGCCGATGCTCAAGCCCTTCAATATCGACGAAGAGACCCACCGCGGAAGAGCACAGTTCACAATCGCGAAAGGGTTCCCCCAATTTCTTTCTTCTCACAACGTCGCTGTCGCCCTAGATGCAGGTTCGCCGTCGCCGTCGCACTATTTCAAATGCAGGTTCGCCGTCGCCGCGGAAGAGACGCTCTGAAATTCCACCTCGGAAGAGAAGCTCTGAAATTCCACCGCGGAAGAGAAGCTCGATCGCCTTTTTTTTTTGATGCAGTGAAGGGTTTCTGTTCGCCTGGATTTCAATTTTTTTTAAAATGATTGTGTAATGAACCGGTGCAACAGGTTACCAGTCCACAAGTGAAAATAATAATAATTAAATAATTTCAATCCAATGGCTGATATTTTATAACAAGATCTAATGGCTCTAAGTATATTAAAGCATGGGTACTATATAGCATACTAAAATGCCTCTTAAAGAAAAGGGAGCATCCACCGAGGGTCACTGGTCGACCCTTTTAAACAATTCAGCCAATCGGAGTTGAGGAAATAATCCCCCTTCTCAAATCAATACCCACCACTATCCTTCTCTGTAAAGATCCGCCCCAACCCACCCTCATAAATAAATAAACCAAAAATTCTATTATATATATTATTACATCAGATTCGTAGGCGACAAATACCATGTTATTAAAGAGAAGCAAACAAAAGCCATAAAATAATAAAAACAAACATTGCCACCCCCCACCCCCCATCCCATGCTTTGCCATTCCATCTTTTGATCCTTCCATCCAATAGGCAGGAGGAGGAGGCGTATTTTCCAGAAGTTTCCGCTCCTCCCCAAAATGGACCACAATCCTCTCTCTCCATCTCTCTTACCTCCCAAATGAAGAAAGCCTGCTTGGATTTTGCCAAATACCAACTTACTTGCATAATAAAAACCATAAGACCAATTTGATCCTTAATCATCTTAATATCTGGTACCCATGGTACTTACATAGTAAATTTCGTATAAAAATGACTATTTTTCGAAATCTTGATTTATATAAGTTTTGTAGAAAAAAGAACTTTCAAAATAATTTACCACGACCATGTAAAATGAGTCATACGGTCAAATGTAGATATTTGAAAAATTATAGACATTTGAGAGTGTAGACAGTTACACATGCATTGTTTGTTTAAAAACTTTTAGATGTGGTAATATTAATTACCCTTGCATTTAATATGTTTCATTATTTTGTAAAATATCCTAATAAAACCAACCATGTAAACAAAATGACCGTCGAGAGTGACGTGTCGATATGTGGTGGTGTGCGCCAATTGGTAACACCGAGAAGGGAGCTCTGACACCTGGAGAGAGTTGCGACTAATTCTTGAAGGCGACAACTCCGATGACACGATGAGTTTGAGTGAAGAGAGCCTAATGGAGACCATGAGATGGATGACACACTTCTTCGCTAGTAAAATTTGATGGAAAGAAAAAAAATTATGGGAAGAGATGAAACAATGACATGAAAAATAAATAATAATAATAAAAGGAAGGATAGAAGTGGGTTAAAAAAAATGCACAGATAAAGTTAAAATTTTGTGCTAAATAATGAGTCCTTTGAAAAGTACTCGGGAGAAATTTGAAAATAACTCAAATACTCAATGAAAACATTTACTTTATACACGAACGAAATGTCCCATAAATATTTTTTTTTAAACAAGTCATTTGATCCCAAATGACTCATAAAATCACATTATTATTCTCTTGTTACCTATTTGAGTATTTGTTCCATGTTTATAGTTGTTCAATGCACAATAATAGAAGTGTGTGGACGGTAAAAAGCATAGGCACATAACTATGTTTATATGATTATTAACTTTAGGTATAAAAATGGTAATATAATAAGTGTTTATGAAACTATATAGACGGTTCCATTAGAGTTAAATAAATTTTAAATATATAAAAGATAATAGAACTACAATTCCAATATAATATTTTATCATTAACTTTTTATGTACAACATCCTATGTGATTTTACAATCTTTCAAGTTTAAATCCAACACATGAGCAGAAACCAACTGTATAGTTTTTTTCCCCGGTAATGAACCAACTATATTGTTATTGTCGCATTAACAATTTAACATAAGATTTTAAGTACCTGTTTGACCTAACATAAAGTTTAGGCAGCGAAGTGCACAAGATATAAAAATATACAGAGGTCTGACTTTCTTGCCATAAAAAAAAACACAAATTAAAGAAAAGAAAGAAAAAAAAAAATTCCAAGCTTCTACCCCATGTATATGAGAGATCTAGAAGTTTCGGAGCGGTTTTTTTGTAAATTAGACCACTCTTCTCTTCTTCTTCATCATCCACCCAGCTCGTCGGCGTCCCTCTATATAAGGAGTCCAATCCCCATTTCTTCCCCTTCGGACTCCACACTAAGACCAGACCAGCCCAGCATTTTCCATCGCTAGCTCCCCCACGGTCCTAAACAGAGCAACGCTGCGACCTAATTGACTTACTACACCTCCCGAATTTCTCCTATGTGTAAGGATTTCCGGCCGCTGCTTTTCTCCCGCTTCTTCTTCTTCTTCCTCCTCCTCCTCTCGGCATTTCATCGCGTCTCACAGACTTAGATTCCGGAGGACTAGTGATTGGGAATTTTCACCGAGGACCGGAATCGATAGAAAACAGAGAGAGAGAGGAAGAAATGAATCGTTTCTTCACTGTAAAGGAAGAGTACCCTGGGGGATCCGGAAATCATTCGCCGGCGGCGAGGATGTCGTTGACTATGGTGGCGCCGCAGCCGATCGAAGGTCTCCACGAGGTCGGGCCGCCGCCGTTCCTGACCAAGACATTCGAGATGGTGGACGATCCGATCACAAATCACGTCGTCTCGTGGAGCAGAGGCGGCACCAGCTTCGTGGTCTGGGATCCTCATTCCTTCTCCACCAACCTCCTCCCTCGATTCTTCAAGCACAATAACTTCTCCAGCTTCGTCCGCCAGCTCAACACTTACGTGAGTATCATTTCTTTTACTCTGGAACCTAATTAACCAATTACTTTCAATCCCGTCGATTGAATTCAAATCTCTTCTTCTTCCTCCTCCTCCTCCCATCGCCTCCGCGAATTGATCCTTTGGTTCCAAATTGATCACCCGTCTCTCTGTGTTTTCCTCTGGTGTTTGTTCATTGTTTCTTAGGCAATGATTAATTGGCTGGAATCGGCTTCATTTCAACGTTTAAGCTACAGTGATGACGATTTCCTATTGGCTAGAAGAGCTAGAAGAGCTCCTGTTTTTATTATTATATTATTATCTGCCCAAAGATATTTTCTCCCTTTCCCAAATTATAATGTTTTTTTTTTCAAAATTTTGCTGAGATCTACAGGGTTTCCGCAAGATTGATCCGGAGCGATGGGAATTCGGCAACGAGGAATTCCTCCAGGGCCACAAGCATCTGCTGAAGAACATCCGGCGAAGGAAAGCTCCTCCTAATTCTCCTTCTCCTCATCCTTCTTCTTTCCATTCTCAGACCTTATCCGTTCCTCCCAATCAATTTCACCTTCATCATCATCAAGCATCGGGGGGCAGCGCCGCCGTCGAGCTCGGCCGGTTCGGTTTCGACGGGGAAATCGACCGATTGAAGCGAGACAAACAGGTGCTGACCTTGGAGCTGGTGAAGCTCCGGCAGCAGCAACAGAGCACAAAGGCCTACGTGGCGGAGCTGGAGCAGAGGCTGCAAGGAACCGAGACGAAGCAGCAACAGATGATGCAGTTCCTGGCCCGGGCGGTTCGGAACCCGGCCTTCTTGCATCAGCTGGCGCAGCAGAAGGGGAAGAGGAAAGAGCTGGAGGAAGCCCTGAGCAAGAAGCGGAGGCGGCCGATTGACCAGGGCCGCGGTAGTAGGACTACCAATTACGCCCTTGGCGAATCGAGCAATCGGCCAGTGAAAACGGAGCCGCTGGATTACGGAGCATCGCCGTTTGGATTGACGGAGCTGGAAGCCCTGGCGCTTGAGATGCAAGGGTACGGGAAGGGGATTAGGAAGGAGAGAGAGGAGGAGGAGGAGGAGGAAGTGGAAGAGGACGGTTTCGAATCTACATCGGATCGGGAACTGGATGATGGATTCTGGGAAGAATTGTTGAGTGAGAGCACCGGCGACGGCGGAGGGGAAGAACAGGAAGACGTCAACACCTTGGCCGAGCGGTTAGGTTACTTGCGCTCAACAAGCCCCAAGTAGTACGCAGTTACCGGAATTTTGGATAGGAAATAAAAGGGAAACGAAAACAGAGAGATCTCCGAAGCGCGCCGCCGCGAGCTTTGATTTGGGAGGAGTTTTACTTTTACCACGGCGGTGTTTCGTTGGTTGGTTATTTTCAGTAGTGGGTAACTCAGAAAGACGACGATGGAGATGACACGACGGAAAGGGAAAGCGGGGAGGAATTGGGGGTTGATTTCGAAGTGCTTTATTTCGTCATGCTATGATTTTGATTTGGTGTTTTGGTTCGTTAATCTTTTGCCTGTGTAAACTGTGGAATTGCAGCTAGGTAGCAAGTGATGATGCATCATGGTTGGACAGAGAGATAGAGAGAGAGAGAGAGTTGTCAACTTGTTGTCATTAAATGATTTTAATGATGTGCAAGTTGTCTCTGCAAGCAAGAATTGAAAAAAGGTTCCCCTTTTGATGCCCTCTGTTATTTATGAATTCCGTGCCATAAGTGCGTGCAATCCGATTTAACAGTTACAGAGCAACTGTTTCTTTTTTCTCTTTTAGAGACGCACGGCTGGATATTTGTGGGATTAGCTGCTGCAAGTTGCGCAAGAATCTTGACGGTGATCTCAAAAAGGAAAAGGATCCGCTCACAAGAAAGAATGTTTAGGTAGAACGGGGCAGGCCATTGGCTGGCCCTCGCTTTTTCTATTTCTTTTACCCGGCGGCCGACGGGCAATGTCATCGGCCCCGGCGGTAGGATATTTTGATGGGTTGGGAGGTCGGTGATGAAAATTGTGGTTTGGGCCGCTTTAGCGATTTGGTAATGTAGCTTTTAGATTGTATGGAGGGCAATTTGGGTTTGGGAGCAATCATTTTCAATCATTGTGGACAAGTGGGTACCAAAGCAAACAGTGACCACTACTTCAATCTTCATGACCTGCTTCCTCCATCACACAATGGGATTGTGTTCCATTGGTCGGCTGTGCTGCCTTCACAAAATCTCATGTACCTCGTAGGTTCCATCATATTCTAAACTAGGGGTGGGCATTGGTTTGACCAAACCACTCCAAACCGCTCCAAACCGCTTATGCGGTCAATCCAAACCGCACCGTTAAACTAACGGTTTCATTTGCGGTCGAATCGTTAAGTGGTTGGTGGTTCGCGGTTTGGATTGACCGAAACCGCGCGGTTGCGGTTCAAAACCGCAAACCGTTAATTCTTAATACGCCCATCACCAGTCGAGTAGATATGTAGAGATCCATCATCCAGACACCTTTTCTCAGCACACAACACACGAGCTATCCTCCCCGCGACGACGCCATCTTCTCTCCGGCGGCACCAGATCCGAGCATTCTTTCCGCCGCATTCGGTCTTCCCCAGCTTCTCGTCTCTCTCGACGTCGCACAACACCAAGAGGCGGGAGATTTCAAGGATCGAAGGCATCTCGATCTATCCTATTCTCGGAGCTTCGATGCTTTGGCGTACTGATGCTATTAATGGGATTGTAACTTCATATAAGTTTGTATTCCTTAATTAGCCAGGTGAAAGATGGAACTATGCGTACTGATGCTATTAATGGGATGGTATTGTGATAGAGGTGAAAGATGGAAACTGATTGTTGGAAGGAATCAGAAGACTACAACGAATTTAGCTCCAGCAGAGTCACCGCATCTTAATTACCACCACATGCCCGATACAGAGCTAACGAGAAACTTGGCATGCTCTGTTTTGGTGGCAGGAAAACGGTCACCAGCTCCAGTAGTAGAAGTTCTTGATTTTTGGCATGCTCTGTTTGACGGCTACGCGAACAGTGCACCAGCTCCAGCAGTAGCAATTCTTGATTCCGTTCTTGATTTTGGTATGCTCTGTATTGGATTCGTCGTACTCGTACAAATCATAATGAATTGCGGTAAAAATGAGCGGCGCGGTCTAAACCGCGCCAAACCGCTAATATATGCGGTTTGGTTTGACCGCACCGATAACTTAGCGGTTGAACATGCGGTGCGTCCAATTAAGATGCGGTATGGTTCGGTTTATATCAATGCGGTGCGGTTTATGCCCACCCCTATTCTAAACCCAGGAGAAAACTCTAAAGTTTATGCACATTTAGAAAACACCTAAACATACTATGCCTAAGTAGAGTCTCAATGTTTGCCTTATACCTAGCGCTTTCGGGAACATTTATTATAGCAGCTCATTGTTAGCAAACATATCAATGGATGAACCAGAAACATACTATTTTTTGGTGGGGACTAGAATGTGGGGCCGGGATGAACAGTTAAAGCGGACTGATTTGACTCATTTGAGGTTCTCTTCTCCTAAGATGTCTTTTTAACCTGCATAACAAACAAGCTATAGATAGACTATCCAAATATGCTCACTGCACCCGGTAGAGAATGCAAAATCTTATACACTGGGTGAACATAAGTTGTGGATCATAATGTGGAGGAGGGTAGATAGGTTTCTGTCTTTGAGAAGTATAAAGTTAATGCCGATGAGCCACAAACAACAATAACCTTTACAACTCATTATTCCTAGAAAGGCCTCATTAAACTAATTTATAGCTCTGACTATCACTACGCCTGGCGTTTCTTTGGATTTTATGTGACCTTTACGCTTTGTGATCGATTCATTTTGTGTAGGTCATTGTCAATAGTTTGCACGTATCATTAATTACCTCATTCTAGGTAGGCCAAGTTTAACCGATAATGACATTGTCCTATAGTGACAAGCAAGGTCGTACTCACTCGGGTCTCGATACCCTAGCATACTTCCCACGTTGTTGTTATCTAGCTGATCGGTTTAAGGGGTTGTTTTGGAGGATTCAAGTGAAATAACTAGTAGAAAGAATAAACAAGGATAAAAGTAGGTACATCTGGGAACTAACCCTCGCCCTAGCCTAGGTCTATCATGCAAATGACTAAACATGTTGGGTTAAGCGAATATGGTGAGTGAGCTCTTTTCCATGGCCCTTCGTGATTATCCACACACCTCCGAGTATGCCCTAACTACCCCATTGTCACCTCGGTATAGGCTCATGTATTATGGAGTTTAAAGAACTTAGCTCATTTCAATGGGTACTACCCACCTTCTACACCGAGGTTTCATCCTGTTCCATCTAGGAAGGTGTTCTTGTGGTAGGGGTACGGTCGCCTCGTAGACCAGAAGACCCTATTCATTCATCTAACCCTAATTTTCTAGATGGCACATACCTGTCGAACCCTAAAACTCCATACCCAACGTAAAAGCTCAAGTAGGCTAGTAGAGAAGATTAGGGCGACTTACCCAAGCACAATTAAAGTAGATGAAACATTAAAATCAATTAGACAAACACAATCATTCAAAATCCTAACATATTCATTCATTACATAATAGCCCTAAAACTAGGGTTTGGGGTTTAGAACCCCTAGTACCTTAAGAGCCTCCTCCATAAAGGAGGGAGGAAGATACATAGAAGAATTTGGGAAAGGCTTGATGTTGAAGAAGATAACTCATCTCCTCTAGCTTCTCCTCATTCTCCTTCTTCTCTTCTTCTTCTTCCTTTAGTTTCTATCTCTCTAAACCAGAAATTTATGTCTCAAAATCAAATATCTTAAAATGGGGGAAGAGGTCCTCTTTTTATAGACTTCAGGGGACGAACAAGTTAGCGGCCGAGTAGGGGGAGATCGCGGTCAATGATCTTTTCCTTCGAGAACGCGATCTTCAAGCATCGCCATTTTGTTCTTCGTCTGTTGGGAGTTCGCGGGCTGACTTCACGGTCGCGATCCGTGAGTTGTGGTCGCAAACTTCCTCGCGGTCAGGGAAGACGATCATCGTGATCCGACCATCGAAAGTTTATGTTCCTTCTTGGGTGGCTTCCTTAGGAAGTTCGCGCCCAAGGGCTCCATGTTCGGGGTCGCGAACTATGGTTCCCAGGCTGCGATCTTCTCTCCTTCTTTGCGATCTAATGTCTCGACCGAGATCTTCCACGTCCAGGCTGTGATCTTCAGCTTCCTTTCATTTTGCTACACTTGTGCACTTTCTTGTACCTAATTCACATATATCGTCAAAAGCACCCTAAAATCACGAAATAATAAAATAGCAACAAAATAGGGATGCAATCGATGATATTCTTCTAATTATGCACATGAATTAGCATGAAACAAACCAAAAAATGAAGGGCAAATAGCACCAATTTGGGTGTTACCAAACTCCCCCACACTTAGGTGTTTCCTTGTCCCTAAGCGAACCTACTCAAACCAGTGCAACTTGATAGACAGATCTATCGGGGGGGGGGGGGGGTGCACTCTAGTTCTTCATTGAATAAAGAAGAGTATACAAAGATGAGTAAACGTTACTATCATCTTACTGTGTAAGCACAAACTCCTTGGTGACGACCATACTTGCTACCTTGGGATGAATATTCAAGGTGTGCACCACAGGACTTCTCAACAACAATTAAGCACAAGAACTCTTGAGGGTGCTCTTTATTCTTTCTTTAAATTTAGGGGTTGCCTTTTATTGGTCTTCCTTTTCAAAATTGATGCGCATTGCACCAAACTTTTGCAAACTCTTTGCAAGAAATCATCTCTTACTCATGACCAAGAGCGGATGGATCATTGCCTTCCCTACCAAGGTCACATGTGGAGAATTTGATGGGCGGATTCGTCTTAGGTCGAGCACCACTTACCAGCCTGCACTCCACATTGGGTTGCCACACATGTTGGGTACAAACGATAATTGAGGTCTCTTGAATCGCTAAAAGGTGCTTTGTACCTTGTCATACAATTCTGTGAGGAAGAGAGGTGTTTGGAGGATGGTAAGTAGTGAAAGATGGTTGGGAAGCAATAAAGCTATCCGAATCCAAACACATCCTCGAATGACACTCTGAGCCAAGAGAGAATCCCTTTGACGGCTTAACTCAAACACTATGCTCGGTTGCCTCTCACATGAACCCCTTTTTCAAAAGATTTTTTCAAAATTGATCACAAATTTGTAAAAGTTTTGATTTAAAAAATGACAGAGAGTCCCGCACACATGTTCTTCATAAAATAACAAACATTATCAACTCAACAAAGAGAAAGAAGAGAGTAAAACCTCTCATACACCGGTACTTTAATCATGCAACTAATTCGTAGCGAACACAACAGATCAATCATCTATCAATCCAAAGCATACTGAGTAGGAAGTTGCAAGAAACAAGGTGTTTTGGAACCCTCAAATTTGAAAAAATTGAGTATTGCATTCTAGGTTCCAAAACACAATCAATAAGCCATTCAACACCACAAACACAGCACAATCACTAGCATACACACAGAAAAGCAATCATCAACGTTTAACATTCATAATCAAGGGAGGATACTAGTGATTCGTGGCTCAATCAATCATGATAATTATTCAAACATTCACACACACCCCTCCCCCCCACAATTGAGCGAAACATTGTCCTCAATGTGGGAGATTCAAAAGAGAAGAGCATGAAGGTTACCATAGGTTGGGTTGTGGGTTGGTGAAGGTACACAAGTGTAGGTCTTTCTCTTCCTGGTGGTTTTCATAACGATAAAGTGCATAAGAAAGAGAGGAAGATGATTATAAGACATAGGTACGATAAGTAGATAATATAAGTAAGATTACTACTATTACGAGAATATTTAAAGTACGAAAATTAAAATGAAAAGAGCAATAATTAAATA